TACCCCCCACCCATACACACTCCTGTCTTGATGTGGTTTCCTCTTTAATTCTGTAGTTTTAGGACTTCATTCAGCTTGATATCTGGTAGTTCTGAATGATGGATATTCTGTAATTTGGTTGTAATTTCAATGTGATTGTGGGAAGAGGTGAGTATCAAGTTTACCTATGTGCTATCTTGACTAGAAATTCCTATTTTTAAATGTATAGTTCAGGGATATTAAGTACCATGACATTACTGTATAACCATCATGACTATTTATTTACAGAACTTTTTTATCTCCCTCAACTGAAAAATAGTACCCATTAGACAATAAATTCCTATTCCCACCACTAACCCTTAGTAACATTTATTTTACTGTCTCTATGAATTTGACAAGCCTAGGTACCTCATATTAGTGCAATCCTATTTTTTTTTATTTGTGGTGAAAACAGGAATTGTTTCCTTATTGCTGTTCTCAGAGGCAAATCTTTTAATCTTTTACCAGTGAGCTGTGGGTTTTCCATAAATGGTCTTTATTATGGTGAGGTAGTTTCCTTTTATTTATGGTTTGTTGAGTGCTTTTACCATGAAAGGGTGTTGAATTTTGTCAAAATCTTCTCTGCACCAATTGAGATAATCATGCTAATGTGATGTATTTCACTTATTGATTTTATAGAATGTTGAACCATCCTAGCATTTGAGGAATAAATCTAACTTGGTTATAATGTATCATTGTTTTAACATGTTATTTAATTCAGTTTGCTGGTATTTTATGAAGGTTTTTTATATAAATACTCATAAAAATAGTGGTTGATAGTTTATTATTATTATGATGGTTGTTTTGTTATTCTTTTTTTTTTTGTAGTATCTTTGCCTGGTTTTGGTAACAGAGTAATGCTGACTCTACCAATTAAGTTAGGAGGTGTTCCCTCCTCTTTAATATTTTGGAAGAGTTTGAAAACAACTGGTTTTAATTCTTCTTGAATGTTTGGTGACATTCACCAGTGAAGCCATGTGGTCCTAGTCCTTTGTTTATTGTTTCTTTTTTAAAACTGATTGCTTGACTGATTTTAAAGAAAGAGGAAGGGAGAGGGAGAGAAAGAGGGAGAGATAGGCAGAAGGGGAGAGGGGGAGAGAGATGATTAATTTGTTGTTCCACCTATATATGCATTCACTAGTTGATTCTTGCATGACCTGGGATAGAAACCGCAGCCTTGGTGTATGAGGGTGATGCTCTAACCAATTGAGCTGCCCAGGGCTATTGGGAGGCTTTTGATTACTGATTCAGTATCAGTAGTCAGTGTAGGTCTATTAAGATTTTTCTATTCATAATTCACTCTTGGTAGGTTGTATGTTTCTAGGAATTTCTCCATTTCATCTAAACTATCCAATTTATTGGCATACAATTGTTCATCATAGTTGTCTCTTAAAACCTTTTACTTCTATCTCTGCAGAAACATCATTGGCATTTTGCTAGGGATTGCATTGAATTTGTAGATAGTTTTGAAAAGTATTGACACCTTAATAATAGTAAGTCTTCCAATTCATGAATAGAAGATATTTTTCTGTTTATTTGTGTCTTCTTTAATTTCTTTCAGCAATATTTTTTAGTTTTCAGTGTACAAGTCTTTGCTTCCTTTGTTAAATTTATTCCTAAGTGGTTCTTCTTTTTATTGGATGCCATTGTTAAGTGAAATTGTTTGCTTAATTTTATTTTCAGATTGTTCATTGATAGTGTATGAAAATATGACTGATTTTTTAAATGTTGACTATACCCTATAACTTTCTGAAATCATTTATTAGCTCTAACTTTTTTTTTTAATGTGGAACTTTCAGGGTTTCCTACATATAAGATCATGTCATCTGTAAACAGAGATCATTGTTTTTCTTCCTTTCCACCTTGGACATCTTTTATTTCTTTTTCTCACCTAACGGCACTAGCTATGTTCACAGAAGTGGTGAAAGCAGGCACTTTTGCTTGTTCCTGATCTTAGAGTAAAGCACTCATTCTTTCACCATTAATTATTAAGTCATCTATGGATTTTTCATAAAAGGGCTTTATTATGTTGAGATAGTTCCTCCTATCCCTAGTTTGTTTAGTGTTTTTATCATGAAAATATGTTGAATTTTGTCAGATGCCTTTTCTGCATCAATTAAATGATCTTGTATCTTTTTCCTTCATTCTGTTAATGTAGTGTATTACACTGATTGATTTTTGCATGTCAACCAGGAATAAATCCCACTTGGTTGTGGAATATTGTTATTTTAATATGCTGTTAAATTTGCTTTGCTAGTATTTTGTTGAGGATTTTTGCAGCAATATCTGTAAGAAATATTGGTTAGACCTGGCTGGCGTAGCTCAGTGGATTGAGTGCGGGCTGCAAACCAAAGTGTAGCAGGTTCGATTCCCAGCCAGGGTACATGCCTGGGTTGCAGGCCATAACCCCCAGCAACCGCACACTGATGTTTCTCTCTCTCTCTCTCTCTCTCTCTCCCTTCCCTCTCTAAAAATAAATAAATAAAATCTTAAAAAAATATTTAAAAAGAGAGAAATTTGGTTAGTAATTTTCTTTGCTTATAGGTCTTTGTCTGGCTTTAGTATCAATACAATGTTGGTCTCATAGAATAAATTAAGAAGTATTCTTTCTTCTTCCAATTTCTGGACAAGTTTGAAAAAGACTGGTATTAATTCTTCTTTAAATGTTTGTAGCATTCACCAGTAAAGCCATCTTTGTCCTGGGCTTTTGTTTGTTGGCAGTTTTCATTAGTGATTTGATCTTTTTACTAGTTGTAGATGTATTCATATTTTATATTTCTTTATGGTTCAGTCTTTGTAGTTTGCATGTTTCTAGGAATTTGTCCATTTTGCTAGGCTGTACAATTTCTCGGTATATAATTATTTATAGTATTGTCTTATAATTTTTTCATATTTCTGTAAAGTCAGTAGTAATGTCTCTCTTTTCATTTCTGATTTTAGTTATTTAAGTGTTCTTTTTTCTCTAGCTAAAGGTTTGTCGATCTTTTTGAAAAAAAAATTTTGGTTTTGCTGATTTTATTTTGTTTTTTAGTCTCCATTTTATAATCTCTGCTCTAATATTTATTATTTCCTTTCTGTTGCTGCTTTTGAGTTTAGTTTGTTTTCCCTTTTCCAGTTCCTTAAAGTGTTAGGTTAGATTGTTAATTTGAGGCTTTTTTAAAATGTAAACATTTATAACAGCTATAAATTTCCCTCTTAGCACTGCTTTTGCTATATCCCATAACTTTTGATACGTTGTATTTTAATTTTTCAAGATCTTTTCTAATTTTCTTTGCAATTTCTTTTTGAGACACTGGTTGCTTAAGAGTGTGTTGTTTAAGTTCAATATACCTGTGAATTTTCTTGTGTTTCTTCCACCATTGATGTCATTTTCATTTTATTGTTACTGGGAAATATTTTATAATTGCAATCATTTTAAATTTATTAAGACTTGTTTGGTGATCCATAGGATCTATTGTGGAAAATGTTCCATTGGTACTTGAGAAAAATGTATATTATGCAATTGCTTTGAGGCCAATTCTATATATGTCTATGAGGTCCAATTTGTTTAAGTGTTGTTAAAGTCCTCTCCTTATTGATCTTCTGACAGGAAATGCTATCCATTATTGAAAATGGAGTATTGAAGTCTCCTACTATTATGGTGGAGCTAGTTATTTCTACTTTTAATACTGTCAATGTTTGCTTTATATATTTGGAGCAATTTTGTTTGATTGTTACAGCTTCTTGGTGAACTGAATCTTTTCTCATTATATAATATCCTTATTGGCCTCTTGCAACAGGTTCCAACTTAAAGTCTATTTTGTCTGATATTAGTGTAACCACCTCTCCTGTCTTTTGGTTACTCTTTGGATGAAATCTCTTTTTTATCCTTTCACTTTCAACCTATGCATGTCCTTAGACCTGTAAGAGTCTCACAGACAGCATATAGTTGGATAACATTTTTAATCCATTTTACCAATCTATGTTTCTTGATTGGACAATTTAATCCATTTGCATTTAAAGAAATTAATGGTATGGAAGGAATTACTTTTGCCATTTTATTTATTCTCTGTATAACTCATAGCTATTTTGTCCTTCGTTTCATCCATTAATACCTTCCTTTGTGTTTACCTGATTTTTAAGTAACATATTAATTTTTTCTCATTTTCTTTTGTGTACGTTATATACATATTTGTGGCTACCCTGCAGATTACACATAAGTTATCCAAAAGTTATAACAATTTATTTCAAATTGATACCAACTTAACTTCAGTTGCATTAAAAAACCTTTTTTTATAAAGCTCTAGCCCCACTTGTGTGTTACTGATGTCACATATAATTGCTTTATGTATCATATGTACATTAACACAAATTTCTTTGTGATAAACTGGGTTTTTTGTCTTTGTTTTTATAAATAATTTTCTCTCCCTCATTCTCACTCTGGCATCTTTTAATCCTTCTCTTTATCTATGGAATTTAGGAATATCACCAAGATGCATGTATGTATGTTTTCTTTCCTGTTTAAGTCATTATTTATGTTCTAAAATATTCACTTCTTCCTCTGTGCTCTTCAATCAACTGTTGATTGTGGTTTTACTCTGCTAGTTTCTTGACCACACAGATTCTGTTTTCATTCTGTACTGCAGGAGTTTCTTGATACTTCTGAGCTATTAGTAGTGACCTTTCCTATTTTCCTGAAGTATCGTGGACTTATTTTTTCTCCTTAAATCAACTCTGACATAACAATGGGATTTTGATATGAACAAAAAAGAAATACCTATTATTTATTTAGGTAAATAAATAAAGAGTCCTCTCCTCTTGGACTCAGAAATAAACAATCCTCTTGGATTCAGAACTCCATGGTTACCTTAAATAGCTTTTTTAAACAATGTTTTCCCTACCTTCTAATCACAGTCATGTGATAAACAAAAACCTAACCAATTCAGAAAAATGTTTAGATTAAAAGTATTTGCAGGTCACTTTACATTTTGTCAGTATTATACCTGTCGATGGCTTGAAGATCATTGGCTGGATTCCAAGTAGGATCAAATAGTACAACAACATTGGCACCAATAAAATTGAGGCCTAGTCCACCAGCCCTAGAGAAAACAGAAAGAGCATATTAAAACAGTAAAAACAAAAATTTTTATCCTATATCTAAATTGTGCCATATTTCTATAACCAAATCAACATATTGCATTCACATAGTAAAAGCAAGGTGATTAAAACACAAATATGTCACAAATGAAATAGCTATGAAATATTCTTTTTCCATCACTCCACACTGTCCCTAAAAAATTTGACCATTAGAGTCTATATAAGCAGACTATGCTGATTATACTCAAATACTATTCCTATAAAATTTTCATAATGTAATTTTTAAAAACTGTTAGTACCATATTTTGTCATGTACAATGTGCACTTTTTGCCCAAATTTTTGAGGAAAAAATAAGAATGTACATTATACACAGGTATAATGATTACATACCATGGGTGTAATGGGCATAATAATCCTGTGTATAACCGTGCACCAAAATGTGGGTGCACCTTACCCATGGGAATGCATCATACATGGCAAAATATGGTATATAGCAGCTAAATAAAGTAATATATGCATTTTTAAAAAATCAAGCCAGGAGTAGATACACTTCTCTTTATTCTGCCACTAAGTGCTGCTAAATAAAAATCCTGGGTACTATATACAAAATAAACACAAGAGACTAAAAGGTAGAGAGAACACAGACTGGCTAGGAATTACAAGATGTGAACAATGACATGGCAGTGAGTTTCCTGGACTTTTTTTCTTGCCTAATATATCCCAGACTGGGTTTTGCAGAAGCTAGTGAACTGGAAATGCCAACAGTCACAGACAAAAAAGCCCCAAGTAAATCCTTCCTTTAGCCAAAGAAAGGAAAACTGTAGCCTTTTAAGTCAGAAAAATGTTAGATAATAACCAGCCTATTCCTGCAAAGACCACAGAAAAAGATCTGTGGCCTTACCCTCAATCTAGTCAGTAAAGACTAGGTGAAAAGACTAAACCTCCAATCTTGCTTGAATGTAATGAGACACTTTTAACCCCTGCTTGTGTGGTGTCAGAAAAGACTGATTGAGGAGCTAAGACTTTCATTTCTTCCCAGTGATAACCAGGTCCCCATCTGTAGTGTCAGTGGAGGCCATCCAGAAATTGTAATGAAGTACTTCACTATCAAGATTCAACAGAGGCCAAGTAGAATACATGGATTTCCATCCCTTTGTGTCTGGTAGGGTGTCTGATTAAAACAGATTTAAATAAGATATAAAGTCTTATAACATAATACTAAAAAATGTACAGCAAACAATAAAAAATTACTAACTGGCAATTTCACTTCTGGGGCTATACCCAAGAATCTTGAAACATCAATTTAAAAGAACCTATGCACCCCAATGTTCATAGCAGCACAATTTACAATAGCCAAGTACTGGAAGTAACATAAGTGCCCATCAGTAAATGAGTGGATCAAAAAACTAGTACATTTATATGATGGAATACTACGCAGCAGAAAGAAAGAAAGAGCTCCTACCCTTCATGACAGCATGGATGGATCTGGAGGCCATTATGCTAAGTGAAATAAGCCAAGCAGTGAAAGACAAATACCATATGATCTCACTACTATAAGTGGAACCTAACCAACAAAAGAAAAAAGTACGCAAAATATAACCAGAGACATTGAAATTAAAAACAAACTGACAGCAATTAGAGGGGAGGTGGGAGGGTATGGTGGGGGGAAAAGAGAGAAGAGTTGTCAGGAACATGTATAAAGGACACCTGGACAAAGACAAAGTGGGTAGGATTGAGGGTGGGAGTTGGGGATGGCTGGGATGGGTGGGAGTGATGGGGGAAGAAATCCAGACAACAGTACTTGAACAACATTAAAAAAAAAAACAAATTAATTTTGTATGAAGGAAAAAAAGTCCAATCTTCAAAAGAAATACTGTGTCGGATATGGATATCTATTTTGAAACCACACCTTATCATTTTCTTTTCATATGAGAATTTTTTCCTGAACCAATTTTGTAAAAGAACCTGGTTCTGCCTGGCTACTTTAACCATCATGTCCATGACCAAAATGAAGGCATTCGTAATATTCCTCTCTTCTTTATCTCTTTAATTTGGACAAGTGAGTTTGTCCCTGAGACATGTAAGAGGAGCCAATGCATATATAACCAGATGCTTAAAGCTTTTCTTTCTTTTTTCAGTTATGTTGAAAAAAATACTAGTCAGACAAAGGTCCAAAAACATCTCAACTTGAATGAGAAAAGGCAATCAACAGATGACAATTAATCAGATGTTGGAATTATCTGATAAGAATTTTAATGCAGTTGTAATAAAAATGCTTTGATAAGAAGTTACAAATATGCTTGAAACAAACTAAAAATAGAAAGTCTCAGCATATAAAGAAAATAGAAAGAGGGGATATTAAAAAAAAACAAATGAAATTTTAGAACTGAAAAATAACTGAATTACAGAACTTGCCGAAATGAACTTGATAGTACAATGGAAATGAGAGAGAACAGAATGCATAAACATAAGAACAGGTCAATATTATTTACTCAATCTAAAGAACAAAGAAAATATGCTGAAAAAAATTAACATAGTCTTAGAGACCTGAGGGACATTAACAGAAGAGCTAATCTCTCTGTTATTAGAAGGAGAAAAAAGAGAGGCTGAAAAAGTATTTGAACACACATGGCTAAAAACTTCCCAAATTTGGGAACAGCCATAAACCTGTACATTCAAGAAGTTGTATGAACTCCAAAGCAGATAAATCCAAAGAAACCCATGCCAAGATGCATCATAATTAAACCCCTGAAAACAAAACACAAATAAAAAACTCTTAAAAGCAGTAAGAGAGTAACAACACATTACTTCTACAGAAAACGAATTCAAATGGCAGCAGATTTCTCATCAGAAATCATGGAGGCCAGAAGGAAGGAGTATAACATTTTTCTAGTGCTGAAAGAACTGTCAATCCAGAATTCTCTATCTAGCAAAAATATCCTTCAGGAATGAGGGGAAAATCATGACATCCTTTAATTAAGAAAAACTAAGAGAATTTGTCACTGACAGACTTAAAGGGGAAAAAAACCTCACAAAAACTAAAAACTATCCAATAGCAAATCCAGTCAAATTTAGCTCAGAAAATATTTTTCTCTAGTCCCTTCTCCATTCCTATTTCCCCTGCCCTATTTCAAGCCCTTACTATATAGCACCTGTTAGTCCTGATATTATTTCATTGATTTCTTAACTGTATTCCCTTACCTCAGACCTTAAATTCATTCTCATCCTACATAAAATTATTTTAACCACAGAGTATAAAAAAACAAGCATGGCAGTCTTCTGTTTTAAATCCCTTTATCCTTATCCATCAGAGACAAACTCTTATATACTCAGACTTTATCTCATGGAACTACCAATATATTTAAAGTTGCCTTCATATACTACTTACAATTTTCTTGGCTCTCTTCTTTGCCTGGCTAACTTCTACTTGTCCTTCAGCATTGCTAATGACCATACTATTTTGAAACCACCCTTTTAACATATCTTAACTATTCCCTCCATCCTCATATTTTTTTTAGTTACAAATTTTAAAAGAGTGGGATCTGAACCTTTTACATCTTTTCTTCTCCAGGACCTGTCACAGAACACTCAATATGGTTTTTGTTAAATTAACTAATAATTCCTCATATTTAGTCATATACCCATAGAACTTTAGTATCCTAAACTCTAACCACTTAAATTCCCTGGCCATTTTTGTACCTAAGCTGTTATCTCTGTCTAAAATGCCCTTTATGTAAACCTGCTTTTCCTTCTAATGAAATTTTATTTATAAGGGGTCAGTTTAAATATAACTATCCTTTTATGGTCTTTTTTGATATGCCTATTCTTTAAATGATCATGAAAATTTACACATAACTCTAATAGGCATTTATTGCTCTTTGTGCTCCTAGGAGAGGCAAAAAAAAAAAAGTATGTTATTTTTCTTATCTTACATCAAGTAAGTGTCAATGAAGAAAAAAAGAGTGAACAAAGGTATGTGGGACTGGTTAGATAACATAACAAAATAAAGAATCAGAGGCAGGTTTTGACAATAGGTCTATATACAATCCTAATGACTTATTTGAAGAGTGGTTTAGAATCTCTTTGGGGACATAAAAAATTGCCCTCATATATAGGGAACCATTCCATATGGCTTGGGAATGCAGCCCAGCTCCCACTCGGAAAAGCCAGTGGGAAACAAGGTCTGGCACACAGGAGCCACGTTCACGGATAGGTTCTCCCATGGGGAATCAGGCCTGCATTGTACCTAGGCTATGAGGAGGCTTGTTTTTGCTAAAACTCCCTCACCCTGAATTGAGGCAGCAAATGTTTACTGCATATCTTTAAAGTAACTTCCTGAAATCTATGCTAAACCTTCCAAGGAGGAATGTAACCAGTTCAACCACTTTTCCCTTTGCATTTACAAATATCCTTCTTCTGTGATATAATTAGCAACATCCTCTCCTTTGTTTTCTGTAAAAGGTAACCACCTAAAGCGAACCTGTGCATAGTAAATGAGGACCATCCTTGATGTAATGTGCCCAGAAAACAATAAAAGCCTATCTAGGCAAGGGTCGCGGCACTCTCTCACTCAGAGTGGCCATGCCGTCCCTTTTTCTCCACAGGACTTCTGCAGTCTGTGTGAATTTGTTTGCCACAGCCACAAAACACAGACCCTGCTGGCCAGGAACTGCACCACTCTTATATCTGAGGCAGTTAAGATATAGTTTTCTGGAATAAGGTTAAGAGAAATACTAAGTTATTTTTCTCAACAGCCTTTCAAACTATGATTCATGGGATTGGAATAATTAGGGGCACCTAAATATTCCCTGACAAATCCAAAGTATACTGACTTAAAGTTGTGTGCAAAAGAAAACGTATTATATCTTTTGAAAAATAACTTTAACTGGAACCTAATGAACAAAACAGACAAGCAAGCAAAACATAACCAAAGACACTGAAATTGAGAACAGTGACCAGAAGGGAGAGGGGAGGGGATAATGGGGGAAAAGGATGAAGGGTTTACAGGAGCAATTATACAGGACACATGGACAACAATAAGGAGGGGTGGAAATGGGGGAGTGAGGGGGATGGTTAGGGTGGTGGGGAGGAGTGGGGGGGGGAGGCAGAAAACTACTTGAACAACAATTTAAAAATGTGAAAAAAATAAAAAATAAAGTGTACGTTTTCACCAAAATAATAAATAAATAAATAAATAAATAATAAAAGGAAAAACAATTTTAATTCTTTCAAAAATAAAATAAAATAAAAGTTAAAAATCCAGTGGATAGATTAAATAGCAATTTCTAATACAGTTAAAGAGATAATTATGAGCTTAGCAGAATTCATCAAATTAGACTGGGGGAGAGATAATTGCTTATGATAAGTTCTATACTATTTGAACTATTGAAGGCATTTATTTGATAAACCTAAGAATACTTATGTTTATTTTATAAAAAACTAACTGAAGGTAATATCCTATGCCATTTAATGCTCTGTATGTAAAGACTCAAGTGAGAAATTACAACTTGAATTAATTCATAGGAAATTGGGAATCCAGAGTTTCTCTCCTTTTGTCTTACTGCAGAATTCAAGAATAATTTTATTGCTCAATAATAAGTATTGATAGCTCACTCATCATACATATCATTTTCTTCCTCATTAAATAATTTTTGACTTATTTCTACTTTTTGCATCATGCGACAGATAATTTGATTTTTAAAATCCCTCGAAATTCTTTTTAAAAGACAGTGGCAGTAGATATATAAAATACTACATTAGCTGTCAATAGTTATGGATTTGTTACCTCCCAAAACATTAATTTTACTTAGGTTTTTATATTGACTGACTGGTAACTTTTCATCTAAAGTGTGTATATTCTTTAAAAGGTTTTAATTAGAGACTTGTAAACAAGTGTTAGAACTGATTTAACTTTAATCAAACCTATAAATGTGGAGCTGCTCTGACTGAGATTAAGTAGAGACAAAGCAGGGAAATGCCTGGCCCCCATGCCCTGTGACCTCTCCAGGGCTCCGTGATCACAGTTTGCAAACCAATGCTACCAATGATTCTCTGATATTTGATTAATAACTCAATTATTTAATTCAGTCTTTTCAGTCTTGTTGTGACCACAGACATGAGTCAGAACATTCTACAGAAAATTCCTTAAAAAAACTATTTTTTTGGATTACTATCTTTGTAAACATGGACATATAAAGGGAAATAATGTTCAGTGATGACAAGGGAATTGAGAGAAAAGATTAAGTAAACCTCAAGAAACTGTTTCTTCAATCATAATTAATAGCACGTTTGCTGTTTTTCCTTAAGTTGAGTAAAACAAAGCAATAAAACTATCACCATTGAAAATTCACTAATAGTTTTAAAATTACCCTAAATCTTAAAAGCAGTTAGATAAAAATCTAGCTATCAAATTTTATTTTCTTACATTGTGGAGACAAGGCAAATGTTAACATCTTGTGTACTGTTGAACTCTTTCACAATCTTGATTCTTTCCTCTGATTTTGTACTTCCATCAAGTCGTCGGTAATCAAGCCCACATGCCATGCAGTATTGCTGCAGCACATCAAGCAACTAGAGGAAAGGTACAGAGATGGGCAAAGGTGAATTCATGGTTTAACAAGCTTTAAACCATTACAGAGATAAAATTTACTAAGCATTAATTATTGCTGCTCACAATTTCTTTCTTATAATTACAAGAGCAACAGATATTTTTCTGACTTTTGACTCATATATTTGATTATCCTAAAATTGACCTTAACGTTCAATAACTATTCTTTGGAAAAAAATCAATCTTTAATTTTTACAACTAAAACCAAAGAATAAGAAAAGTATTGGACAAATGATTTATGTAAATATATTTCATTTATTTACACTATTTCCTATATTTTAAAATGTCTTAAATATTTTAAAGAACTTAATTATCAATAAAAAAACATCAACAGAAAATTAAAGACCTATTTTTGAATTTGCTATTTGACAGTAACCCTGAGATCTAAAAGTCTCTTAGCTACCTCACTACCATTCCTACGGAGTGTAAAAGACAGAACTTATGGCTGGATGCCATTATGTATTTGAGGCTTTCTCCTTATTAAGGCCGGGCTGATCAAGAACTCACCTTGGTAGAGAAGGAAAAAAGAAGAATTTTATCTCTGTTTTTCCTGCAATGACTTAAAAGCTGCTGAAGGACCTGGAAATGAAGCACAGGACATCACTGAACCAGTTCCAACTAAGCGTACAGTTTGTACATATAAATATCACTTGAGAATTTCTTAAGAAGTATTTTTATTGAACATAACCTCAGTCAGCTTTCCTAATTCCCTTTATTGTTGGCAATTTAGAGAAATAAAGTATTAGATATTACATAAAATGTTATTCATCATATTGTGAACAATGAGGTGAAACCCCTAAAGAATTTTATTTCATTTTATCTTGTTTTAATAAAAAGAAATAATTTCAGATTATGAGACACATATAAATAGATTAATATAATTTCCAAAATATACTTTTTAAAATCTACAATATGTTCAGAAACTGAATTAGAGAGTAGCATTCCTTTAGGAAGTATTTAAAAATTCTCTTGATATTTATTTCCTTAAAATTATCAGTCAGAAATAAACCTCTTCTCATTTTCTCCTCTTGGTTTCTCTATTTTACAGTAAGCCCTGATTTCCACATTTGATTTTGACCTCAAAATACCAATAACCTGCCTCTACACACAGTGCTTTTTAGGGAAGAAACAGATAATCCAAAGCCTGTGTATAGTAGTAATACTATTGTTTTAAAAACAGGCATTTGTTTTTACTGTATTGTTGGATGCGGTTTGCCAATATTTTGTTGAGAATTGTAGCGTATATGTTCATCAGCGATATTGGCCTGTAGTTTTCTTTCTTTCTTGTGTCTTTAACTGGTTTTGGGATTAGGATGATGCTGCCTTCAAAAAGAGTTTTGGAGTCTTCCCTCTTCTTGGGCTTTTTGTAATAGTCTGAGAAGGACAGGAGTTAGCTTTTCCTTAAAAGTTTTGTAAAATTCTCCTGTGTAACCATCCAGTCCAGGATTTTTGTGTGCCAGGAGATTTCTGATTCTTGCTTTGATTTCATTAGCTGTTACTGGTCTGTTCAGGCTTTCTGTTTCTTCTTTATTCAGTTTTGGAGGATTATATTTTTCTAGAAATTTGTCCATTTCACCCAGGCTTTCAAATTTCTTGGCATATAATTGTTTCTAATAATTTCTTAAAATCGTTTGTATTTCTGTGGTATCAGTTGTAATCTCTCCTTTTTCATTTCTGATTTTATTTATTTTGGTTCTCTATTTTTCTTCTTGATGAATCTGCTTAAAGGCTTGTCGATTTTGTTTACCTTTACAAAGAACCAGTTCCTAGAGTTATTGATCCTTTGAATTATTCTTTCAGTCTCTATATATTTCATTCTGCCTTGATCTTGGTTATTTCCTTCCTTCTGCTTGCTCTAGGCTTTGCTTGTTGTTGTTCCTTCAATTCTTATAGATGTAGGATTTCTTTTTTAGGTAGGCCTATATCACTATGACCTTCCCACTCAAGACTGTCTTCACTGTGTCCCATAGGTTTTGGAATTTTGTGTGTTCATTTCATTTGTTTCCAGAAATTTTTTATTTCTTCCTTGATTTCATTATTAACCAACTCATTGTTCAATAGCATGCTACTCAATCTCCATGAATTTGAGTGTCTTTGAGTGTTTTTCCTTGAGGTTGGTTTCTCGTTTTAAGCCCTTGTGGTCCAAGAAAATGCTTGCCATGATTTCAGTTTTCTTGAATTTGTTGAGGCTTGTTTTGTGTCCTATCAGGTGGTCTACCTTTGCAAATGTTCCATGTGCATTGGAAAAGAATGTGAATTTTGCTTCTTTGGGATGAAAGGTTCTATATATAGCAGTTGAGTCCATTTGATGTAGGGTATTGTTCAATGCCACAATATCTTTGTTGATACTTTGTTTAAAACATCATACACCATGATCAAGTGGGATTCATGTCAGGAATGCAAGGGTGGTACAATATTTGCAAATCAATAAATATAATACATCACATAAACAAAAGGAAAGACAAAAATCACATGATCATATCAATAGATGTGGAAAAAGCATTTGATAAGGTACAGCACCCATTTATGATAAAAACACTCAGCAAAGAGGGAGTAGAGGGAGCATACCTCAACATATTAAAGGCCATATCTGAGAAATCTACAGCCAACATCATACTCAATGTAGAAAAACTAAAAGCTTTCCTGCCAAGATCAGGAATAAGACAAGGGTGCCTGTTCAACATAGTATTGGAAGTCCTTATTCAACATAGTATTGGATGTCCTAGCCACAGTGATCAGTCCTAGCCACAAGAAAAACAAATAAAAGGCACCCAAATTGGAAAGGAGGAAGCAAAATTGTCACAGTTCACAGATGACATGATAGTGTACACAGAAAACCCTATAGGCTCCACCAAAACTACTTGATCTAATAGGCGAATTTGGCAAACTAGCAGTATACAAAGTCAATATTCAGAAATTGAATGCATTTTTGTACACCAGCAATGAAATAACAGAATAGAAATCAGGAAAAAAATCCCATTTGATATAGCAACAAGAAAAATAAAGTACCTAGGAATACACCTAACCAAAGAGGTAAAAAACCTGTACTCAGAAAACTACACGACAATGAAGAAAAAAATTAAGGAAGGCACAAACAAATGGAAGCATATATCATGTTCAGGGATGGGAAGAATTAACATATAAATGGCTACACTACCCTGAGCAATTTATAGATTCAATGCAATCCCTATTAAAATATTAATGACATATTTTACAGATATAGAACAAACATTTAAAAAATTTATATGGAACCACAAATGACCCCAAATAGTCAAAGCAATTTTGAGAAAGAAGAACAAAGTAGGAGGGATCACAATACCTCCTACTTTGACATCAAACTATATTACAAGGCCACTGTAATCAAAATAGTCTGGTACTGGCATAAGAACAGATAGATCAATGGAACAAAACAGAGAGCCTGGAGATAAACTCAAGTCTCTATGGTCAATTAATATTCAACAAAGGGAGCAGAAGCATAAAATGGAGTAAAAGTAGCCCCTTGAACAAATGGTACTGGGAGATCCTGACAGCTATATGCAAAAAAATAAAATTTGAGCACCAACTTACACCATACACAAAATAAACTCTAGATGAATAAAAGACTTAAATATGAGTCACAATACCATAACAGTCCTAGAGGAGAAAATAGGCAGGGAAATCTCGTATATTCCATGTGGCAATATTTTTACTGATATGTCCTCTAGAGCAAAGGACATAACAGAAAGAATGAACAAATGGGACTTCATCAAAATAAAAAGCTTCTTCCTGGCTAAAGAAAACAGCATTAAAATGAAAAGAGAACCAACCATATGGGAAATATATTTGCTAATGATACCTCAAACAAGGGTTTGATCTCCAAAATATATAAAGAACTCACACGACTCCACTCTAAGAAGACAAGCAACCCAATTAAAAAATGGGCAAAGGACCCGAACAGACACTTCTCCAAAGAGGACATACAGAGAGCCCAGAGACATATGAAAGGATGCTCAGCATCACTAGCCATTAGAGAGATGCAAATTAAAACCACAATGGGATACCACTTCACACTGTTGAGAATGGCCATTATAAACAAATTAACAAACAACAAGTGTTGGAGAGGTTGTGGAAAAAAAGGAACCATAGTGTACTGTTGGTGGGAATGCAGATTGCTACAGCCACTATGGAAAACAGTATGGAATTTCCTTAAAAAACTAAAAAAGGAACTCCCTTTTGACCCAGCAATTCCACTGCTGGGATTATACTCTAAGAATCCTGAAACACCACTTCAAAAGAACCTATGCACCCCAATGTTCATAGCAGCTCAATTTACAATAGCCAAATGCTAGAAGCAACCTAAGTGCCCATCAGTAAATGAGTGGATCAAAAAAATTGTGGTACATTTAGACAATGGAATGCTATGCAGCAGAAAGAAAAAGAGCTCCTAATCCTTCATGACAGTATGGATGGATCTGCAGAGCCTTATGCTAAGTGAAATAAGCCAGGTAGTGAAAGACAAATTCCATATGATCTCACCTATAAGTAGAACCTAAACAACAAAAGAAACAAGCAAGCAAAATATAACCAGAGACATTGAAACAAACAACAAACAGACAGTGACCAGAGGGGAAGGTGGGGATAACAGGGTAAAGAAGGGGAAGGGTCATCAAGGAACATGTATAAAGGGCCCGTGGACAAAGCCAAAGGGGGTAGGATTGCGGGTGAGAGGTGGTGATAGGTGGGGATAGGTGGATTTGGGGGAGTGGTGGAGGGAAAATGGAGACAACTGTACTTGAACAGCAATAAAAAAACTCTCTTAAAAAAAGAAGTATAAAAAAAAGAAGAGTGCACAGAAATCTACTCTGATTATTTGGGATAATATACCTACTGCATTTTCAGGTATTCTTGAATATCTTACAAGTAAAAAGGAAATCAAGTGCTTTTGGATTGGAGGTATTTATTAGGCTTGTTAAAAAAAACCCTCAGACTCATTAATGAAATAAATAACTGTAAACTAACATCCTGTATTAGAAATTTGAAAAATGACACTGTAGTCACTATAAGTTGGTATCTTAACAATACAGGCCCAATATTTTATCACTCACTTATCCTTCACATACCCAGAAAATTCCCCTAAAAAGGAATCTTAAATTTGGGTTGCTCACAGCTGAGGACTCTTGGATCTAACTTGATTCAGATTAGTGAGGCACAGAGACTAAAATGACATTTGTATGATTCCAGCAACATTAAACTGTGTGTCCTACTCTTTTTTTCCACCCCCCATAGTAAGTGACTTAGTGGCATTCATTTCCCAAGGGAAAGAAAAATGAGTATTCTCATTAGGGAAATAAGTGCAACTTGTGACCATCCCTTTGAATAGTAGTTGAGGTCAACAAAGATCTTGATACTTAAGAGAAAGAGCTGGAGTTCATGAGTGTAACTTTGAGGCTATAAAGGGTACAGTGGACATTATGTGCACAAATAAATTGTACCCACAGGCTAACCTATAATAAGAGAAATAGAACTAGGATCTTTTATCGCCCAAATTAAAGAAGTACATACAACTTGGAGTTCTTAACCACTTAGGCAATAATTCCACAATAAACCTGTAGGTTTTCAATCACCAAATCACCACATGATGTTGCTAATCAAATGATGAAACACAGGCTGAAAAATTTAATCCTTGCTTATTATTATCAGTCTCTGATTTGTTGGTGCTTTCTCAAAAAACAAGTAAATTACATGCTTCCTTCACATATAAAGACACTTAGCCTCAAGCAACAATTCATGTTTGCTTTTACCCTTCTAAAAATTTTAATAAAATGTAAATGCAATAATTATCTTAATCAGACACTATTTTACTAAATATATAACTAATTAACAGTATGTTTTAAATCATATATTTAATGGATATATAAGAATATAAAATGCAGTTATAAAATTTCATTTAATTTCAAGAATGCTAACTTTTTTGTTAATAGTCAAAATGAATAAAATTCAAATAAATAGCAATAGAAATATAGTTTTCAAAGGAGACCATGGTATTTGGAAATATTCTATTAGCTTAAATTATGGGATAATTAGCTCTGGGTGGGTGGTTCAGTTGGTTGGAGCATCATCCATACACCAAAGGTTGTGGGTTTGATTCTCAGTCAGGGCACATTCCTAGGTTGTGGGTTCAATCCCCGATTGGGGCACATACAGGAGGCAGCCCATTGGCGTTTCTCTCTTGTATCAGTTTCTCTCTCTCTCTCTTTCACCCCACTTTCTCTCTCTTTAAGTCAATAAACATATCCTCTTGGGTGAAGATTAAAAAAAAGTTATGAGTGCTCAGTTTACATTAATGGGGCTTTTTATATTTTTAACTTAAAGTAATTAAATAAAAGTCAATAAAATAGATGACAAAAATAGATTTACTATTGTTAGGAAATATAATTAGATTTGAAATATATGTTATAAAAATAAATCATAGAATATTCTCACTACTACAAACCTATTTATTTAAAAAAATACATAACTTTCAACAAAGTGAGTATCAAGAAAACATACCTCAACATAATAAAGCTCATATATGACAATACCACAGCTAAAATGCTTAATGGTGAAAATTGAAAGCTTGTCCTCTAAGATCAGGAACAAGAAATGATAAAAATGCCTACTCTTGCCATTTTTATTCAACATAGCACTGTAAGTCTTAGCCAGATCAATTAGGCAAGTAAATAAATAAAATAAAAGGCAACCAAAAACCAAATCAGGAAAAATAAGTAAAACTGCCTCTATTTGTAGATACATGTTACATATAGAAAAAACCTGAAGACTACAGCAAAAAAAAAAAAAATAAACCCAAAACCATTTGAACTAATATACAAATTCAGTATACAGGGTGGGACAAAATTGGGTTACAGTTGTTCGTATGAAAAATAATACAATAATTGGTGAATAATAATACAAGAATAAACTCCGTGTTTTGCATACGTACAACTGTAAACCTATTTTCGCCCTGCCCTGTAGTTGCAGAATACAAAATCAATATAGGAAAATCAGATGCATTTCTATACATTAATTACAACTATCAGAAAGAGAAATTAAGAAAACAATCTTATTTACAACTACATAAAAAATAAAATATCTAGGAACAAATATAACCAAGGAGATGAAAGACCTATATACTAAAAACTGTTAAGACACTGATGCAAGAAACTGAAGAAGACACAAATAAATGTAAAGATATTCTGTGATCATGGATTAAGTTAATATTGCTAAAACATTTATACTACCTAAAGCTATCTATAGATTCAGTGCAATCCTTATGAAAACTCCAGTGGCATTTTTCACAGAAATAGAACAAACACTCCTAAAATTTGAATGGAACCACAAAAGACCCTGAATAGCCACAGCAATCTGAGAAAATGGATCAAAGCTGAAGGCATCACACTTTCCAATTTAAAACTATATGACAAAGCAATAATAATCAAAACAGTACAGTACTGGCATAAAAATGGACACAAAGATCAAGAGAATGGCATAGGAAGCCCAGCAATAAAACCACACATATAGAGTCAATTAATTTGAACAAAGGAGGCAAGAATTTACAATGAGAAAAGGACAGACTCTTCATTAGATGGTGTTAGAAAAACTAGACAGCCACATGCAAAAGCATGAAACTGATCTCAAAAAGATATCAGCACCCCCATGTTCACTGCAGCATTATTTACAATAGTCAAGACATAGAAAAAACGTAAGTGTCTGTTAATGGATGAATGGATAGCAATATTATTCAGCCATAAAAAAGAAGGAAATCTGCCCTGACTAGTGTGGCTCACTTGACTGGGCATCATCCCACAAAGTGAAAGGTCACCATTTCAATTCCTGGCCAGGGCACATGCCTGGGCTATGGGTTTGGTCCCCAGTCAAGCACATGTGAGAGGCGACAGGTTGATGTTTCTCTCTCACGTTTCTCTACTGTTTTTTCTCCCTCCCTTCCCTTAAAAAAAAAAAAAAAGGAAATCCTGCTATTTGCTACAACATGAATAGACATTGAGGGAATTAAGTGAAATAAATCAAAGGCGAATACTATATGATCTCACTGATACATGGAATTTTTAAAATAAAAGAAAATAAAACATCAAACTCATCCTGTACAGAGAATAGATTAGTGCTTGCCAGAGGCAAGGGGTAGAGAACAGGTGAAATGGGTGATGGTAGTCAACAAGTATAAGCTCCCATAAGACAAGTAAAAATCCTAGGGATGTATTGTACAGCATGGTGGCTATAGTTAGCAAGACCATATTGTATATTTAAAAGGGAGTAGATCTTAAAAGTTTTCCTCACAAGAAAAAAACATTGTAACTATGTGAGGTGATGGATATTAATTAGACTTACTGTGGTAATTATTTCAAAATATTTGCATGTATCAAATCATTATGTTGTATACCTAAAGTAATACAATATTATATGCCAATTGTATCTCTGTTAAAAAAAAACACTCACAAGGTTTTAGGGTAATCTCCCTAGTTTACATTTTATACCATTGATTTAGAGGTCCAGGCAAACTAAACTATGCTGAGCTTATATAGATTAACTGCTAAAAATATTTCCAGAATTTCAAAGAAAAAAACCCCTACTTTGAATTACTTCCTTTTTTGCCAAAAGAAATAACTTGCTTCTTGTTAATTAAAACATTAAGTTGGAAATTGCTCTGTAAATATCTTTGATTCCATAAATATTGTTGGTAAACAATCTTTAACAACTGAACAGTTGTTCGGTTAAACAACTGAATTCTGCTACAAGGAGGCTAGAACTGTCAGTATTTCATGCAGCTGTGACAGGCAATGCCCAGGGGTAGGGGGTCATGATTGGAGAACCTAGCATTACTTTTCAGAACCCTCCCTCAATTCATCACCAAGTGCACCAACAGGTTGGTGTCCCAGTATAAAGCAAAGGCTCTCTTGCATAAATGAGATATAACAATCTTGTGATCTAGGTTGGCAAGTAAAAACAAGAGGCACAAAGTTCAGTCTAGACATAGAGGCCTTGAAAACACTTAGAGATCTAATAGAGAACTTAGAGAACTCTTCAAGGAGTTTCTTCCTCTGGATTCTGAGCTCCTACCTATCCTTATCCTCTTGGCATTCACATTTGTATATCTGGCAGATTATCTCCTTAAAAATTGGAAGACAAATTATTACACATGGGGCAAACAGCATACTTTTTTAGGAGGATATGAATCCAATACTATAGGAACATTTGAAATATATCTGGTATAACTGCTTCTAATTGAGAACCCACCAGATGCAGGTTCATAGTGAGCTAGTGAGTACAGATACAACTAGACCATTTGTCTTTGGCTACCGCCTCTTCTCAATGATTGAGCCTCTGTTAATAATTAGCTGGTGTTCCTGTCATACCATTTGATAAATATTTTGTATATCACTCTTATATGTATGCAAACTGAAAGAAGAACACTTGCCTTCATTTTTCCACTATATTTTGGATCAGAAAGTGTTTCAAAGGCTGCATCTTTGCTTTTCTGCACAAAATCTGGGAATCTGGAAAATACCTGATCATATATCCTTTTGATGAGTGTTTCCTTTAAAGGAAGAGGAAGATGAAAAGAAATATTAACTTAATATGTTTAAACCTATATAAATTGAATGCAAAATTATAAACAAAAGTTGTTTGAACAAGTTTAGATTTTCTCACTTTGATTAAAAACTTAAGTGCATATACTTCTCTGACATGTACATTAAAAAATGAACAAGTCAGAATTACATAGAAAAAAACTTAAAGATATTTGGCTAGGTAATTTCATATCAAGTATAAATATTTATACCAGATAGCATCACAAAGACATTTTAAAAGAGAACCCAAACCTGCTGTTTGGAGGTGCTAGCAGCCTGCAGTAGTGAGACGTGGTTAGCTACCTTCTGAAGGACTGAGAGGTAACTGAAGTACAGGGTTTTCACTGTTTCACCATGTGAATTAGTCTATAAGCAGAGAAATACAGAAAATAAAAACAAGCAAAGGACTAACATGACTATGTAACTACTTACATCACAAAATACATCACTTGCAATAATATTTTTAATTGGGTTACTACTGGCACAATACATTCTGAGAAAATGATGGTCAACTTTTTATACCAAATGTCCATGAATCACATCATACTTTTGGTGAACCGTAATGTAGTGATGTTTTTAACCAAAGAGGGGAGGATGTCCTCATTCCAAAAGTATTCACCCTCCTGATACAATCACAGAAATGGAGCATAAGAGATTCATGGTAACAAAACTATGTAGTAAGGGGGCAGTGTTGTATGGACCCCTTTCCTCTCTCCTCTCACTTATATATTCCAAGGGTTCCTATGAATCTGGGCTATCACAAAAAAACTGAAGTTGTTAAAAACAGCAAAATAAATGAGAGTGAGAATAAATATCAATCTAGATAAATATTTATATAGGGTCCCTCTGTGTGCAAAGTTATGTGACAGGTAACTTGATAATAAAATAGAGGTGAAAAAGGGAAATACAGATAGAAAGTAAAACATACTTGATTCTGAATGAAAATAAAATGCTTTCTAAATTGTACAGTTTTTATTAAAATAATACTATATCTCATATCAGAATAATATTTTAAACTTGTGATGAAAGAGTCAATTTATTATTTAGTGGATAGTGAGACTTCCTGAAAGTGATGAAATTTCAAGATAAAAGTAGGATACTTCCCAGTAAAAGCTGAAAAGGAAGATATCAAATTGAAGCTACTTTCAAAAACTAGTTTGCTTGATTTTTTTTTTTTTATCCTTACCAAAGGACATTTTTTTTCATTGCTTTTAGAGAGCAAGGAGGGGCAACAGGAAGGGAGAGAGAGAGACATCAATGTGAGAGAGAAGCGTTGATTGGCTGCTTCTCACACATGCCCAGATGGGTTGTGGATCGAACACAGGTACCTGCCCCAACCAGGAATGGAATCCTCAATCCCTCAGCTACTGGGTGATGCTCCAACTAACTGAGCCATGCTGGCCAGGGTCAAAAAAGTCATTTTTGAAAATATATTTGAATCTTGTATTTTGCCATGATTACTATTTGATATTATAATATATTTTTTAAAACTATCTCTTTTCATTAACTTACGGCTTCTAAAGTAAAGAACTCTCTGTGGAAAACTTATTTTATCTGCTACTTACAATAGAATACTATATAATCAAAATAAGATAGTAAAGATATCAAACTAAAATGCTTGCCTTATAACAACAATTTCTCCTTTTTCGGCCACTACCGCAGGTACAAGGCTCAGAAGACTGAAGTATCAAAGTCACATCTTCTGTTTCTAATACTGTTTGATAGACAGCTTTCTGAAAATCTGTTAGAGAACAATACACCATCTGCCAAGAAAAACACAAGGTAATTATTAGTATTTTTTCTATAGTGATAATAATCATAATGCACATCCAATTTCATAGCTTGCAATAGTAAAAATTGCTCATAAACTAAATTATTCTTCTAGATACATGATTATAACAATTTCTCAGAAATCTCCTATATTTTTTGCTAATACCCTAGCCAAAACTATACAAATTATAACTTTATTTTTAAATATATCTCAAAGAGTTTGTTTTTTAATTAAAAGGAATCAAAATATGAAGGAAACAACTTATGAGATTTCCTTTTACAGGTGGGGTAAAAGTATGTTTACAGTTGTGAGTACGCAAAATACACAGTTTATTCTTGTGTTATTATTTATTATCATATTAGTTTCCATTCAAAAAAATTGTAAACCTACTTTTGCCTCATCCTATATATTTCTTAAAATGTGGGTGTTTTCAGGGTTCCACATTATTAGTCTACCATGCAAATAAATTATTAAAATTTAGGTCAAATCAGAAACTAGATAAGAAACAATGGAAAATTTTAGAACAATGGTAATAATTATAGTTACAGAATTACTTGAAAAACTTAGAAAAATATTAAAAGCTTCAAATTACTGCAAACAAGCTCAAGTATTTGTATTTAGTATCTTTCTATAAATTTCTAAGATTAGTAATGATAAGAGCCAAGTAAATATCCATAAAAGCAATTACAAGTTGCTATTTTGTACCCAATTTCAAAAAGAGAAAAAAGATGATAAAATAATGCCATAAGTTTCTGGGGATAAAATTTACATTGTACTTCCAGGAGTACTGGAAATTGGTAAAATTCTTCTAGTTATAGCTATATGTAACTAGGGTCATAAACCTAAATATACTCATAATAGGGCTTTGAGCAATGTGAATAATAGGGAAAAGCCATTTATTTATAAAGTTATATGTGTATATCACTACAATAAAATATTACTGTCAAAAATGACAAAAATGTGCATCTGAGCAAATATAGGGATAGCTACATAAAACAATGCTAGATTAAAAATAAACTACCATATTTTTTGGACTATAAGATGCACCCCCCCCACCAAATGTAGTTTTACATTTACATTGGTGAAATATTATATTATTTATGTTAAATATTTTACCACATTTTTTTGTTTCAAAATTATTTTCCTGTTTTCCTCTAAAGCCTAGGTGCATCTTATGGTCCAAAAAATACAGTGTATATATAATATATTAGCTATATCTTGACTGTATTGAATACAAAAGTAGATATAAAAATTAAAAAGAGGATATAGAAGATGGGGGTTGATGATTAAGGCATGGAGGGAATTTTGAGTTACTATTTTTCCAAGCTTTATTGAGATATAATTGACATATAACATTGTGTAAGTTTAAGATGTATAATGTGATAATTTTATACATACACATATTATAAAATTATTACCACAAGGTTAGTTAACACATACATTACTTCACATAATGACATTTTAATTTTTTTGTGGTTAGAACATTTAAAATTTGTTCACTTAGCAACTCTGAAATATACACTATAGTACTGTTAACCATAGTCTATGTTATGCAATTATGTTATACATTAGATCCCCAGAAATTATTCATCCTTTAATTGAAGGCTGTACCCTTTGACTAATATCTATCCATTTCCCCTGACCCTTAGCCCCTGGCAACCACCATTCTTCTCTGTTTCTATGAGTGTGGCTTTTTAAAATAAATATTCTACATATAGGTGAGATTGTACAGTATTTTCTTTCTGTGTCTGACTTATTTTATTTAGCACAATGACTTCAAGGTCTAGCCATGTTTTCACAAATTATAGATTTCCTTCTTTTTTTATAGCTGAATAATATTCCATTATATATCTATATCTATATATCACAAATTCTTTATTCATTCATCTGTCAACAGACAATGTTGTTTCCATGTCTTTACTACTGTGAATAACAGCAATAACCATGGGACTTCATGCATCTTTATAACAGTAAGTTCATCTCCTTTGGATGTGTATCCAAGAGTGGGTCTGCTGGAGCACATGGTAGTTCTAGTTTTAATTTTGGGGGAACTCCCATACGATTTTCCATAGTAGCTCTACTAATTTACATTCCCACAAACAGTGTACCAGGCGTCACTTTCCTTTACATGATCACCAACACTTATTATGCTTGTCTTTTTTATATTGCCATTCTAACAGGCATGAGGTAATGTTGAACTGTGGTTTTGGTTTGCATTTCCCTGATAATTAGTGATGTTGAGCATCTTTTCACATACCTGTTGGCCATTACCTATGGGCCACTGGTATGTATTCTCTGGAGAAAAAATGTCTATTCAGATCGGATTAGTGTTTAATTAGATTATTGTTGTTACTGAGTTGTATAAATCCCTTATATATTTTGCATATTAACCTCTTACCAGATAGATGGTTTGCAAATATTTTCTCCCATTCTGTAGGTTGTCTCTTCATTCTGTTGATTGTTTCTTTTGTGGCACAGAGGTTTTTATTTTGATATAGTCTCATTTGTTTATTATCACTTGGGCTTTTGGTGTCATATCCAAAATATCACCTCCAAGACCAGTGTCAAGGAGTGCTTTCCCTATGTTTTCTTCTAGTTTTATGGTTTCAGGTGTTATATTTAAGTATTTTATCCATTTTGAGTTAATTTTTTGTGAGTGGTATAAAACAGGAGTCCAACAGCATTCTATCACATGTGAATACCCATTTATTTAAAAAACTATCTTCATTGAGTATTATTGGCTCCCTTGTCAAATATTAGTTGACTGTACATGCATGGGTTTATTTCTGGGCTCTCTATTTTATTTCTTTGGTCTATGTTTCTATTTTTATGCCAGTACCATACTGTTCTGATTATTATAGCTTCATAATATAGTTCAAAATTATTTTTTAACAATATTAATTCTTTTAATCCACAAACATGCGATATCTTTCCATTTATCTGTAATTTCTTCATTTTCTTTCATCGTCTTATAGTTTTTCATGTACAGGTCTTTTACTTCCCTGGTTAAATTTATTCCTAAGTATTATTTTATTATTCAGTTGGTATTATTAAAACATGTAGTAACATTTACTGAACACTTTTTTCATGTCACACATTTTAGAGCAACAACATGAGGCAGGCACTGTTATCATCTTTCCTGTGTAAATGATAAAGAAACCAAGGTTTGAGAGACTTAGCAAATTGTTCAAGGTTATAAAACTCATAAGCAGGGGAGTGAGGATTCAAACCTATGGCATTTGATTTCAGAGCCCAATCTCTAAACTTTTTTGTGCAACTTTCTTTTCATATTTTTATGGTTTAGTGTTCTTACTAGACAGACAACTAAATAATATACATTAAATTTCACAAAACAATTTTAAAAAGTGGAGGGTCATGAAGTTTTCCAATTAAATAATATTTGCTTTAAATCAAAAAGTCAAATGTTATATCAGTTTCCCAACTTGAAGATCAGTATCATATTTTTCTTGCAAATCTATCTTTTAAAGTAATGATCAACAGGATATCCTAAGACTAGAGGGTTCTGATAGGATTGCCCTTATTTCGGACAACATTCGTTAGATTTAGTTTACAGTAATTTATAGAATCTTTAGTCTATTGTCTGAGCTAGAAGAACCACATAAAAACTATAAAAGAGAACTACTATATTTTAAAAATTCTAAGGTCAACTCTTCAAATCTCCTTAAACAATGAGTAGAATTCAACTGTACTTTTCCTACAAAGTTGTAAAAGCAGGCTAGTTGTGTCACTGCAAATAGCATTCTATAAGAAACAAATCTATAATAACAAAAAGTTTTCAACCACTTTGGTCTTGTAGCTAGAATTAAGGTATGAAAGAATAAACTGAGCTGTAGATAGTAGACAATGTAGGAATCACAAAATATGAACAGAAAACACATTAGGGAGAGAAGTTCTTTCTTCATTGAGGAAGAATTACATAGAAAGTATTTTGTTCTAAAATAAGAAAAATTAGTTTAATGCATACTAATAGTATACCTGTTAGTGGACAGGTCAGTAAAGTTAGTAAGGAAAATGATTGGGCTTAATTGTGGTTTTCTAAAATTCTGCATAAAGCAAGTTTATTCACACCAAGTAAAAGGCAAAAAAAAACTATATTCAAAAAATATCACAGGAGACAGACTTTCTCTTGAAAATATTTTTTTTTTCAGAAAAAAATAAAACACAATCAGAAATAATATATACAAATGCAGTTCTCACCCGGTCTTCCTTCTTAGGTAATTGATTCTTGATGAGAATCTTGGTACGCCTGAGAAACCATCCATCCATCTTTGTCGCAAGCCTTCGCATGGCCTTTCGGCCAGTAGCTAGTTCTCTTTTTGTTGCTGTGTGTCTCTGACCATGTTCTACTGGATCAGAAAACTGTTTCTTGAAGTGGATCCTGCTACCTAAAAGTCCTGGTACAGCCCTTTATCAAGGCATTAAAAAAATGTTAGGGCTTTATTAAATTATCTAAAAGAAAAACATTGGCTTCTTTTTGCTTCTAAAAAACAGACTAAGTCACTTGTTTGTTAATGACAGAAATAGCAAAAGGCAAGTAAACATAACATTCTTTCTTTATGACATTTTTGGTAAATAACTATAAGATGATAATAAAATTGGTAAATTAGTTCAGATATTTAATTCAGGGAATAAGAGTAAAGATAGGTTTTCATAGGACTCTATTTTGTATACTATGTTTGGGATCAAGTACTTCTGTAAACAGACAAACAATTGTATTTTTTCCCCCAGAAACTAATAGTTAGCAAACAAGGTAACATTAAGTTAGAGATGTATTAAATAAAAAAAGAAAGTGTTAGCACTCACCAGTCCATAACACACCACAGTTCTTTCATATTGTTCTGAAGAATGGTTCCAGTGAGGCCAATACGAATGTTACATTTTAAAGCTTTCATAACTTCTGTTACTCTAGCCTTTGGATTCTTGATTCTATGAGCTTCATCCACAATGACAGCTGACCATTCTAAACTATTAAGAGATAACGAAAAAAAAGGGGAAAGGTTGAGAAGATGTCCTTTTTCCAGCCTATATAATTTTAGAAAGCAGCTCTAACAAAATTTTGGAGGTTTTTTCCTCTCTACTCTCTGATGATAGCATTCTGACCAAGCATTCTCACCTAGTTAGTTAAATGGTTATAGTTTGGACAATCCATGAAAATAAAATGTATATGGAGACAAAAGGATATAGACAATCTATGTAATTATGGTGAAATTAAGACAAAAACTCATTTAAACATTACTAAAATGACAAAAAATTTAAATATGAGAAGTAAATATTACATATAAGAAGCAATACTTGCAATGTTAAATCTGAATGTAAATGTCAATATAAACTTATGATTTTAAAAGCTATATTATGTAGCTTTATCTGCTAAAAAAGGTTTAGGATTGATTGTTATCACAGTAGCAACAAGCACCCATAGCTGTCAATCAACTAAAAGGGAACCAGCGCCCCATGGAGAAATGGTTGATATCAACTGTGCAGCACAGATGTTCAAAGATAAATGGGGGCATGTCCAAAGGACTCAGGTTCCAGGCTAATTGGAGATTTTGAGCATCATTAAGAATGATGCTGGAGAGGGAAGATGGCGGTCAGGTAGGAGGCAGTGGATTCCACTTCCCCTACACAGGAGAAAAACCTAGCCAATCTATGGAGGAACAAAGCAAACAGCCAACAGTACCTCAGCATATATGAAGATAGGAGACCAAAAATTATAGCAGACTTTGAAAAACCAGATGGCAAGGAGTGTGCTTCAGGACAATAAGGTCCCTGGAACCCGGGCAGCTGCAGCCCCAGGCCTGGCGCCCACTGGATCTGCCACAGGGGTTTTGGGAGACAGCCGAGTCTATGGCTCCCTCCCCAACCAAACAAGGTTTGAGCAGCACTAGGAGAGACCTGGTTGCTTGAAGTCGCAGGGAGGGGAATACGGACTAAGTGGCAAACACAGGGACTGTGAGTACCCACAGAGTCTGTGGACGTCGGCTCAGGAGAGTTGAGAGGTGGGCCGTGAGGGGCCCTGAAACGAATAGTCCCCCGTCTGGTTGGAAAATTGGGCAGTGTGAGAGGCCAGGATTCTGTGCAGAGTGGCAGGCTTGAGAGGGAGCAATTTCTCAAAAAGTAAAAGTGAAAAAAGAGACCCTGTTTGGGGAATTCTCCTGCAGCAGCCACTCTGGCCTCCTCACCCCCCCAGCTGGGCAGTGCTCCCGAGGTGGTGCGAAATGCCCTGCACATACCCATACCCCTGGGAGAGTCCACTCTGAGGATGGCCCCGAGCCCACACGCGTAACCCTGGGGAAAGTGTGCTCTGCGGAAGGCCTGGATCACACACCCAAAACCCGGGGGAGAGACACCTGGCTAGCCCTGGGGAGAGTGCATGGCTAGACGGGGAAAGAGTGTGCACCCAAGGCTGACTGAGTGTGGATCAGGAAGGGAGAAAGATGAAACCAGTTGCCCCTCAGCCTGCTGCAGCCAGCAAGACCAGCAAAATGGTTTGGCCAGTTTGAGACCAGCAAGAGGTTTTTTTTAGTAATTCTTTCTTTTCTTTCTTTTTTTTTTTTAAATAAGTGTGTGGGGTTTTTTTTTTTTAAGATTTTATTTATTTATTTTTAGAGAGGGAAGGGAGGGAGATAGAGAGAGAGAAAGGAACATCAATGTGCAGTTGCTGGGGGTCATGGCCTGCAACCCAGGCATGTGCTCTGACTGGGAATCGAACTTGTGACACTTTGGTTCGCAGCCCGAGCTCAATCCACTGAGCTATGCCAGCCAGGGCATAATTCTTTATTTTCTTATTATTACTTTTTTATCTTTCAACTCCTTTTTTCTCTTTCGTTTTTTCTTGATTTATTCCTTCTTCACTTCCTTCCAATTTTATCTCTTCTTCCTTCCTTCTTCTTTTTACTTTTTAAATTCCCACAAATGAGACAAAAAAAAATGTGAAACTGTGAAAAGACCAGAGGTGGACCCTAAGAGGGGCCATCCCAACAGTTAAGACAGTGTGACAAATTTCACTTTGCTATTACAGAGGACCCACAAGTTACTTCATATTTGTATTACTATGTTTTCATTATTCTTACATCTTTTATTTTAATAGTATTTTTGTATTCCTCTTCTGCCTGTTTAGTCTACTTTGCTTGACTGGTTAAATTGTATCATTTGACATGTTTCCTCTGTTCTCTCTTTTATAGTGTATTGTTAATTTACTGTCCTTCACTACACTTGTGTTCCATTAGCACACTACTCGAAGTCCTATACTCCCTATTCTTGTTATCCAAATCACATAGATTCTATCATATGATTGTTGCTCCATTATTATTGTAAATAACAGCTATTCCATACAATTATAAATACTACACAACACCCCTCCCCGATATTAGCCAACTCCACGGTTTCCTGATCTCTATTACTATGGTGGATAACTCTATTCTCTCACACACTACACCTATTTACTATCCTTTACTCTCACCTTACCTCAGAATCTGACCTCCCACAACCTCACTGCTTTCTAGATCTAACTAACAATCCTTTCCTCCCCAGCAAGAGTCTTATCTTCTTTCCATCCTTTCCAAAAAATAGCTAGTTGGGTGGGATATCACGGTTAACACTATACATAGCCAAAGAATCTCCTATCTCTTCTTTAACAGCTGCTACTGTAAATATCATAAAATACTCTCTTGCTGTCTTCAACCATTTTGCCTTCCCCCTCCAAATGATCACAAAAAAAGAGTACGGTGAAGCTGTGAACACCAGGATACTCGCTGGAAGAGGAAACCCAACAACAAAGGAACCAATAAGAGATAACAACAGAAGAAGGTGAAGGAGAGAGTGGAAACCACACTAACCTCAATCCAGGACCTATCTGAAAATACAACTAAATAGTGCAGAAATTACCCAGAACAAACAACTGAATAAGAGGAAGAAAGAATCCTCAAAAACTTGTACGCACGGAAGAACCAGCTTCAACACCACCTGCCCACATTAGCACAACAAAAACAAGAGGAGATGGAAAGAGTCACCCTCAGTTAACAAGCCAGTGAGAAGGACTCACCAAAGAAAGACCCAACAACAATCAAAATGCAAAGACAAACACAGCTAACTTAAAGGACAGCCCAGGACCAGTGAGATTAGGAGATCAAGGAGACAGCACCACTGAATCTCACAGATATTCTACCATAGAAATTCACATCATAAACCCAGGGAGTCAGAACAGTTAAACTTAAGAAGCTGAGGCTAACAATAAGAGTCTCACAAACAATGGGAAGACAAAGAAACAATCCCCAAATGAAAGGAAAGGAGGAAGCCTCAGAAAGAATGCTAAAGAAATAGAAGCAACTCAACTATCAGATATTGAGTTCAAAGCAATGGTTAATGAGGAAGCTCAATGAGCTCACTGAGAAACTACAGGGAAACTACAGTTAACTCACTGCAAACTATATCAACATGAAAAAGGAAATAGAAACCATCAACAAGGGCCAAGAGGAAATGAAGAATACAACTTCTGAATGAAAGAACACAGTACAAGGAATCAAAAGCAGACTCGATGAAGCAGAAGATTGGATCAGTGAGCTGGAGGACAAAGTAGAAAAAAACACCCAGAAAGAGCAAGAAAAAGAAAAGAGGCTCAGAAAGAATGAAGAGAGATTAAGAGAAATGCAGGACCATATGAAACATAGTAATATCCATATAATAGGGATACCAGAAGGAGAAGAAGAAGAGCAAGGGACAGAAAACCTGTTTGAAAGAGTAATGATGGAAAACTTCCCTAATTTGATGACAGAAAAAGTCACACAAATCCAGGAAATACAGAGAGTCCCAATCAAGAGGAACCCAAAGAGGACCACTTTAAGACACATCATAATTAAAATGGCAAAATTCCAAGACAGAGAATCTTAAAGGCAGCAAGGGAGAAACAGGAAGTAACATACAAGGGCGCCCTGATAAGGCCAGCAGCTGACTTCTCAATGGAAACGCTCCAAGCCAGAAGAGAATGGCACAAAATATTCCAAGTAATGAGAACCAGAGGCCTACGACCCAGTAAGACTCTCAATCGAGATAGAAAGCCAAATAAGGAGCTTCCCAGACAGAAGAAGTCTAAAAGAATACACCTCCACCAAAAGAATACAAACCACTTCTGCAAGAGATGCTAAAAGGCCTGCTTTAAGGAAAAGGAAAAGAGAAAGAGAGAGAGGAACAAAGGTACGAAAATGGCAATGAATAAGTACCTGTCAATAATAACCTTAAACGTCAATGGATTAAATGCTCCAATCAAAAGACATAGATGGCTGAATGGATAAGAAAGCATGACCCACACATATGCTGCCTAAAAGAGACCTACCTCAGACAAAAGACCTACACAGACTGAAAGTGAAGGGCTGGAAACAAATTTTCCAAGCAAATGGACAGGGAAAAAAAGCCGGGGTAGCAATACTGATATCAGACAAAATAGTCTTCAAAGAAAGGGCCATAAAGAGAGACCCACAAGGTCACTTCATAATACTCAAGGGAAGAATCCACAAAGACATAAACATTGTAAATATACATGCACCCAACATAGGAATACCCAAATACATAAAGAAAACCTTAGAGGACTTCAAGAAAGATATTGACAGTGACACAATTATACTAGGGGATTTTAACACCCCACTGTCAAAAATGGACAGATATTCCAAATAAAATATCAACAAAGATATTGGGGCATTGAACAATGCTCTAGATGAAATGGACTCAACTGCTACATATAAAGCCCTTCATCCCAAAGAAGCAAAATACACATTCTTTTTGAATGAACATGGAATATTTTCAAAAACAGACCGCATGACAAGACACAAAACAAGCCTCAACAAATTCAAGAAAATTGAAATCAAATCAAGCATTTTCTCCCACCACAAGGGACTGAAACCAGAAACCAACCCCAAGGAAAAAAACCCAAAACACTCAACATCATGGAGATTGAATACCATGCTATTAAACAA